CTTCACACCATTACGTGGCTCAGCCTGCCCGCATTGCTCAGGATCGTCCACTGGAATGAAAAAAAAAAAAAAAAGTCCAAATCCAGCGGAGAGGAAAATGGCTCATATGTGACTTGACTTTAGGAAATGTTAGAGGTTGTAGCTGTTACATCAGCTGAGAATTGTGCCTGAAGTTAGCTCTTAGTATCCAAGGTGCTGCTGTGTGTAGCACCCAATGAGTGATGCACAACAGAGGTCAATAGCATTTGCTCTGATCTTTCTTCATTGTAACAATGATGCCTAAGCTCTGGGAGCCTCTTGTAATATGTATATTTATGTGACTGAAAATAAGAACAACCAAACAAGCAAGCCTGATTTATTTCATGTATATGTATTTAAATGTGTATGTGATTTCCTGCTGTCATTATAATTAAAGGGACAGTCCAACACACAATCAAAAACACAAGTTTTTCCTCTTACATGTAGTGCTCTTTATTAGTATAGATTTTTTGGGGGGTGAGTTACCAAGTGTTGGAAATATCGGCTGTAGAAGTGTCTGCTTTCTCTTGAATATAATGGAACTAGATGGCACTCAGCTTGTGGCAAAGTGCCAAAAAATACATTGGAAAAACTGTTTCTTTCTAGAAATCATGATCCAGTTACTTAAGATAATCCACAGACCTTGTTACAAGCAGTTTCATGTAGGAACTATTTTCTGTCTACCAAACTAAACCCATCAACTTTATCACCACGCAGAAGGAAGTGTGCATCTACCCATAGACAACAGGTATAAACTAATGTAGTAACATTGGCTACCTCAATGGTGCTAGGTGAGCTAGCAGTTGATGCTTTTGTCCGGGCAGTGATGTCGGTGGGTGTAAAAGAAGAAGATATACTTGGGCAGGCGCGAACTGACACCTCTCAAGCTACCAGTACACACTCCATATTTGGTCTGGACGGGGACTTGAACCAGCAACTGGTTCCCAACCCAACTCCCTATGGACTGAGCTACTGCTGCTCGGGCGTAGTTCAGTAGAAAGAAAATAGTTCCTACATGAAACTGCTCACAACAAAATCTGTGGATTATCTTGAGTAACTGGGTTCCAACTGTTTCTGGAAAGAGACATTGCTGTTGAGTTTTTCAATTTTTTTATTGATTGATTTTTATTTTTTGGTTCTTTGAGCAACACAAGCTGAGTGCCATCTAGTTCCATTATATTTAAGAGAAGGCAGACATCTCTACGGTTGATATCGCCAACACTCTGCAACTCACACCAAAACAATCTAGACTGATGCATAGCACTACAAGTAAAAGGAAAAATATCTATTTTTTATTTTGGGGTGAACTGTCTCTTTAACCTGCCTACCTTAACTCACAATGAAACTACTTTACTTATGATTTATTAACAAATATTTGTCCTCAGTGGTGGTGAAGCATTATTGTGAGAATGTCTCCTCTATACAGACTGATGTCACATTAGAAGTGTTCACACAGTGTTCTTTTTCACCTGTTGAATATGTGCAGACAAATGTACTGGTGCTTTATTTGCTTAGCTTGTGAGTCTGAGTCAGAGGGAAAGGTGTGTATTCAGCTGTGTGTGTTTATGAGGCATGAGCCCAGTGTTCAGGGCAGACAGGATGACGCTACGCTTGACAGTGTCATGCAACAATGTGCCACTAGACATAAAGTCTCCCCCCCGTCCCTTCTCTCCAACAGTACTATGATCTAATGCAGTCTGACATGTCAGAGGCCTGATGCTCTGGCAGGCAATCTGCTGCCCTTTTGGTTGTCTGTCAAACCGCATCAGATTGGAGAAGAAGACAATGGAAGAGGAAGAGATGAGAGTACGTCACAGAGGAAAAAAATCAGACTTTATATTTAATCAGATCCATTTCTTTATTTGTAACAACAGCCAGAGCAGATGTGTGTTTTCTGTGTAAAGTTAACACGCCATCTGTGTCAGTTGCAGTCAGCTGTGCCACGTTTTATCGTTTACTTGTCTAGTGTAACCATTTTGGGATCTAAACAGAGACGGTCATGGATTTGAGGTCATGATCCGAAGTTCAGAAGGGCACCCTGTGTGATTTATGCCTATTTATAAGTGTCTACAATACTGCACTGAGAGAGGACACAATGACTTTGTGTGGCAGCAGTGGTGAGTGACTACAGTGTGCGTATGTGTTGGGTGAGCTGGTCAGATGACAAGTTTGGCAAATAGCAGCACAGTCCTAGAGAGCTACAGTAGCAGCCTTATCGGCTCCGGCTCACACAAAGGCCATTTCACTGGCCAGGAAAGCCACTGTTGGAGCCAGCTCACTGTTGCCCACATGCTGTTACAGAACATGAGCGCAGGGTTTGTGGGAGAAAGTCATGCTTGCTCATATACCAGAATCAGTAAGATAAGCATGTGGGATGATCTGCAGAGCAGTGATTAAGACCTTGGCATAAATAATACAGTGCAGAGCCTTATATAAAGCAGAATTTAACTGAGTCAAAGATTTCCAGGCAGGTCCTGATCATGCTGAAGAGAGAAAAGACTTCATGTGATTTGGGTGAGATTGAGGATGAAGGTCATTTAATTTTATTGCTCATTGTGTTAAATTTAAACATTGCACTTTGAAATACTGAAAAGTAATAAAAAACTTGAGCTGTGTTTTAGGAGGGGAATCTTTTGTGGCAGATTTCACTGAAGAAAGAAGACAAACTTTCCAGTGAAATATAAGAAGTTACGTTCATGTCTAACAAATGTTAAACCACAGCAGTATTTTTTGGTGTTTTCCATGTGGGCTGGGCACTTGTATGTGCATGACACACAAACACAACATGTTGCCAAACAGAACACAGACTCATATTCCTCGTTAAGTCATAAAGCCTGTTCATTTTTACTCAAGTGGATTATGAGACAATGGGCCCCTGGGCACAGATATGCAAGAGGTCCCACCACCTCTCCTCCATACTATAGGGGCAAGACACAGACTCTGTGGTGGTTTTGCTTATTTTTTGTTGTTTGAGTCTCTTTGAAATCATTTTGTGGCCTTTTTTTGGTAATTTTGTGTGTCTGAGAAAAAATTGTCTCACACTGAGGTAGATTTGCTTCTCCCTGATGTCATTTTTATTTCTCTTTGAAATACATTTGTGTCTCTCTTAGGTAATTTTGTCTATCTCTGGCATAAACGTGTGTCTCTCTGATGTAAAACTGTTTCTCTCTTAGGTCTCTCTAAGATAATTTTGTGTCTCCGAGGTAATTTTATGTCTTTCTTGGTCATTTTTTGTCTCTGAGGTACATTTGTGTCTCTCAGATAATTTTGCCTCTCTCAAACATAAATGTGTGTCTCTTTGTGCATCTGAGGTAATTGTATAGCTCTCCGATGTAAATTTGCGTCTCTCTCTCTGGGGTAATGTTGTCTTTTTCTTGGTCATTCTGTGTCTCTTTGAGGTTGTTTTGCCCCTTTCTGTAGTTATTTTGTGTCTCTTTGAGGTACTTGTGTCTCTCTTGTGTAAGTTTGTATCTCCGAAGTAATTGTATGTCTCTCTGGGGTAATTTTGTGTCTCTTAGGTAACTGTATGGCTCTCTGAGGTAATTTTGTGTTTCTTTGAGGTTGTTTTGCCCCTGCTTTAGTTATTTTGTGTCTCTTTGAGGTACACTTGTGTCTCTCTGAAGTAATTTTGTGTCTCCTTGATGTAAATTTGTGTCTTTCTGAGGAAATTTTGTGTCTCTCTGACTTAAATTTGGGTCTCTGAGGTAATTTTGTGTCTCTTAGGTAATTGTATGGCTCTCTGAGGTAATTTTGTGTCTCTCTTAAGTTATTTTGTGTCTCTTTATGGTTGTTGTGCCCCTTTCTGTAGTTATTTTGTGTCTCTTTGAGGTACACTTGTGTCTCTCTTGGGTAAGTTTGTATCTCCAAGGTAACTGTATGGCTCTCTGAGGTAATTTTGTGTTTCTTTGAGGTTATTTTGCCCCTTTCTGTAGTTATCTTGTGTCTCTTTGAGGTACACTTGTGTCTCTCTTGGGTAAGTTTGTATCTCCAAGGTAATTGTATGTCTCTGGGGTAATTTTGTGGCTCTCTGAGGTAATTTTGTGTCTTTTTCTTGGTAATTTTGTGTTTCTTTGAGGTTGTTTTGCCCCTGCTTTAGTTATTTTGTGTCTCTTTGAGGTACACTTGAAGTAATTTTGTGTCTCCTTGATGTAAATTTGTGTCTTTCTGAGGTAATTTTGTCTCTTTCTGACTTAAATTTGGGTCTCTCTGAGGTAATTTTGTGTCTCTGAGGTAATTGTATGGCTCTCTGAGGTAATTTTGTGTCTCTCTTAAGTTATTTTGTGTCTTTTTATGGTTGTTGTGCACCTTTCTGTAGTTATCTTGTGTTTCTTTGAGGTACACTTGTGTCTGTCTTGGGTAATTTTGTGTCTCTCTGACTTATATTTGTGTCTCTCTGAGGTTATTTTGTGTCTTTTGGTCATTTTTTGTCTCTTTGTGGGTGTGTTGGCCCCGCTTTAGTTATTTTGTGTCTCTCTGCAGTTCCTTATGCATCACTTTGTAGTCATTTTGAGTCTCCCTGGTCTCCCATGGTAATAATACAGGTGAAGGCCAGAGGGGTCTCTGGGCTTGTGCCAGGTCTTCCCATTCAGTGATCCATCCATGTTGGTACTTTCTCATACTTTGTCTCTAACTGACTCAATAATAGTGTGAAATAGCTCTCGTAAAAAAGTCTTATTTCCTTAATATTGCTAATATCTAAGGTTCTGGGCAGTGATTTTAATCTGTGTGACGTGTGGCTATGTGACAGGCTTTGATCTGTAATGAAAGCACACTGTAACCTTAGAGTGTGTGTAGATTTATTGTAATTAAACTTTCATGGCCTATTTAGTCATCTGGTTTGAGCCACTTCTTGATGCTCCCTGACTGTGGCAGAGGCAACACAGCTTTGTGTTTGGCTTTCTGTTGGTGATGTGCTGTGGGAGGAGAGACAGGGAGGAATAAGGAGGGGGGGGGGAGGAGGAGGAGGAGGAGAGACAGCGGCGGCCACAGCGGCCAGGCAGGGAGGAGGGAGGACGGAGTAGATCGAGGAGGACAGGCGCGTTGTTCCCTGTGTGCTGCTGCTGATTTCATGTGGAGGAAGAAGAAAGCGACTGAGCAAACAGCCAGCTCGTCTCTCTCCTGATCGGATTTTATTTATTGTCTCCCTTCAAAATGTGCACCCCGTGTTGTATCTCGCAGGTGAGGAACAATACTCTGACTTACCGCTGCTTTGTTGTTGTTGTTGTTGTTAAATGTGACGGTTGTAAACGCCACAATGAGACATTACAGTGAAGCTGTATGCTAACGTTTGGTGTAACGTCGACTTCAGTCAGTCTTGTTTACTGTTGGTGTCGGTATCGGTAAGCACTCATTGTCAGCTAACGCGACTCAGCGGTTATTTCACATCGTGGTGACTCCTGTCAGCCACCATAATTCATTCACAATATGAACATGTTATAATTCGTTCACTGAAACGACTGAATAACTTCACTGTAGTGACGCCACAGCTGTTGGGAGACAAAGAAAGACGAGGCACCTAACGTTAGCTTCAACATCAGCACACAGCGCGAGCGGCCAACGTACGGTACTCGCTATCACAAGTAACGTCATCTTGTGTCTTTACAGATGTGTTGGATGGAAACATTGTGGGTTAGCAGGGCTCATACGTGTTGTGTCTGTACAATGGCAGTGAGAGATGAGTCCTTATTGTGGTTTCATTGTTTCCCTTCCAGTAATGCAAAGTTGCACTTTTCTAACCACTGAGGAACATCTTGCTCCCCAGCTCAGAAACTTCAGGCCAATCCCATTTCTAGCTACTTCCTATACCAGTCACACAAGGCAAACATTAAGGTTTCATTGGTGTGTTTCTGAATTGGTTATGAACAGTAAGTTCTAATGTTTGAAATTAGCTACATCATACAGTATACTCCCTGTAAACATAAAATGAATAGGTCTACTTTTTTGTTTGTTTCTGAGATGTTTGAAGTCAGTTTTGAAGTTGCAGAATTACATGTAAAAGGCACACAGCTATTAAAACTATGCAATTTCAAATAGGGCTGCACAATCAATTGAAATATAATCAAAATCATAATATGCAACTGCAGTATCCAAATTGCAGGAGCTGCATTTTTTTTTTTAACAAAAGTAAAATGTGTCACAGCATTATAAATGAAGCACTGTGGTACCACATAGATGCCCTGGCACACAAATCATACTCCAGATGTAAGGAAACAAGCTTGTTTGGTTTACTATTGTAAATCGTATTGCAAAATCTGTCAAAATAACCACAATATAATTTTTTTTTCATACCAAACAGCCTTAATTTGGAATTAAATAATCTTATATACCCCTTTTGTAATGAACTGTTGGTAAAAACTGGTATATTAAAATTGCAAAATTCTGTTACTTATAGTAGCATGTTAACGAAATATCATGGTAACTTTTGAAGCTGAAACAATAATTAAAAAAATCATGTATTGAAAATTAATTGATAATTGATAATTTTGATCATTATTAAAGTCTAACTGAATGACTGATTTATTGTTTTTAGTATTTGTTAAAGCAAAAATGTCAAAATTTAATTCCAGCCTTTGGGTAGCAAATATTATTTGTTTTTCTTGCCCTCCTCTATGATAGTAATTTGAGTTAGGCTATATTGTGTTTGGGACTGTTGGTTGGACAAAACCATTATCTGCCATTTATACATTAAAGGTTTTATCAGTCATTCAAGAAAATATTCTGCACATTAGTCAGTAATAAAAGTGGTTGCTGGTTTTACTGTTGTGCATCGGAATTATTCAAGGGCTGCCAGTAATAAGAGGTTGCAGAATTCCTTTGAAAATACAGGCAGCTTGTGGTTTATATGTAAAGTTAGAGAGGATTTTCTTCGGCGCTGAGTGCCCTTTTCTCATCCAACAGATTGTTTTGACCACAGGGTTACCACTGCTGAGCCAGTCTGGTCAGGAATTTAATTACACGGACACATCTCTCATCTGAGTGGAGCTCAATTCTGTTTCCTGTTCCTTTCAAAGACTGGATGATGGAAACAGGGAAGGATTAAGAGGAAACGAAGGGCAAACAATAAAATCAGTTTTGTGTTGCTGTGCTGGTGGAGTGCTAATCCCTGTCACAGACACCCATTCAGTTTTGTCGCCATCTCTATTTATGTGTGTACTTGTAATTAGCTTTTTGAGTGTGCATATATGTGCCCCTCTTGAGGTTTAGAGTAGCCCAAATTGATGTGTGGTCTGTTAATTTCCTCTGGCTAGGAGGTGGAAATTAACGGAGGGTGGGTGTTGTTTGGGTTAGATTTGGAGAGAGGAGCAGGCATGGTGTGGGAGCAGCTCACTTGTAATTTCTCAGTGGGATCGGGGATGTATGCCATATTGTGATGGGATAGGGGGTAGGCTTTAGCTCAGCGTTGAGTTTCGTCCAAAGCGCTGCAAGCGTTGGCCGTGAGTGTGGGATAGGACTGAATCCATGTGGGTGTTTCAAGCAGCACAGCTATGGCACAGGGAACTTTGGCAGGGTACATCAGTCTAGAGGACCTAGAGGATACTAGAGACTGGTCCAGCAAGCAGTTTTCCTGATAAAGTATCCTTGAGTAAGACATCAAGCGTTGGACTTACACGCTGGCCTGTTGCACAACTTTTCCCCAGTGCACCATGCTTTAATCACCAAACATTTCTGGTTGTCTTGCCTTTATCAGGGTGGTGGAAGATAACCAAAGGCATTTGATAACGGGGAATGGTAGAGAAGGGCGTTATTTATTGTTTGAGTTTTTGAAATAGTCATCCCATGACTGATGCAGGTTGTAACATTGTGTTTCTCGTGAAAAGATTTCTACAATTCTTAAGAATGCCAGTTGTCTAAAATGTTATTTCCCATTTAAACAAAAATCATTGAAACTATGCCCAAATGTTCATGAGCAACACTCACACAAACACATCACATCAGGTGGTTTGACTGCTTGTTGCTGAGGTCCTGGCACAGAGGCTATAATGTCTCTCAGGGGCAAGGGATCCCAAAAACAGCTGTTGGTGAGCTGTAAAATCACTTGACTTGTAAAAGCCTAAGTGAACACGGTTTACAAACATCTGTAGCAGTCCCCAGCAACTTAAATTCCAGGGTCATTCATACGATTAGGATTACCGGCCAACTGTGTCTGTGCGAGACACGTCGGCTATTTTCAGTCTCCCCTCAGGAATTTCGCTGTGGTCAGCAGCAGCAGGAGTTTGTTTTCCCACAGGGACATCACTGGCAATCTTTCATCTCTTTTGTCTCCCTCTGAACTGTCATACGGCAGCGATAACGTCTTCCCCAACCTCCTCCCTCTCACATCTCCCCTGTCTGTCTCTGTAGTTAAGTACTTCTGTGCAGGGGTTGAAGGTGCTGATGTAATCATGTGAAATGCCAGCCAACTCTTTGCACAGTGTCATTAGTATCAAGTGAGCTTACTTTAAGGCTACAGCCAGGATATTGTGTGCAACTCTGTGAAACTGTAAGCATCACACTAGTAAACAATACACTTAGGGAAGTGACACAGGCCTTTGGGTAAACACAGCATGACGTTGGATTAGTCTGTGCCTGTTGATCTGATATTGGCTTGTATTTTGACTGTCTTTTGTTCTTGTTTGGTCTGTTTCCCTTGGTTATTTTTGTGACTGACTCCTTTGTCTGTGCTGTATTGTTTCATTCCTGTGCTGTTTTCCAGCTTTTCACTGTACCTCAGTTTTGTCTTTCTTTCCTTTCTGTCCATTGGACTTAAGTTTCTCTCTGTTGGTTGTAGCTAGGGGCTGTATTTGCCAAGAGTGAAGCAAAGCCCTCCCTTTGTGTATAGGAAACAGAGCAGTGATACATTTTTGCTGTGTGTATACAGCTGCCTAGCTATATGGACAATAGCGGAGCTGTCAGTCACAACGTAAGGGGAAGTGGAGTAGGTCTTGGTCTGGAGCTTGGGCCAACCGAACTTTGGTGTGTGAGAAAGTTTCTGCCATGTGTCTCATTGTTTTAGTTTTTTCTCTTTCTGCTTGTTTCTCCTTGCTGCCTTCAACCCTATGCGATGTTGAAATTTGAGATAAGAGGGTGTGTCTACAGTTTTGACTGAACTGTTGGTCTGCCATGATTCATTGTGGTCAGCTTTATCCAGTGGCCACTATTATTAAGCTGTAACTAACAGGGAGTTCCCTCAGTTTTAAAGCAGCCATCGTAACGGCATAGTCTACTTCTGTAAGGCAGAAAGCACTAAAGAAAAGTAGGACAGAGATTAAAGATGAATGTAGCAGATGAGATGAATGAATGAACAGTCACGCTGGTGGTTTGGATCTACCTCAGGTTTATACTCCCACGGATGCAGCCATTGAAATTCGTATACTGCATTTTCCCAGTCAAGTTGTTTTGACTGTGCTCATCTCAGATGTGAGTCATGTATGTTTGTGCTGCTTTATGTCTCCCCTGAGAATTGTTTTTTGCCCCACTGATAAACATAAAGTCAACTTCTTAAATCAGCCGATCAAAGTTTTTCCCTCTCTTCTCATCTGGGGGGGGGAAATCTGTGTCACAGCAGAAACAGATTGTTTCTGTAGTCTGATGCCAAAATACTCCCATCACAAATACCACATGTACCACTTTATGGGTATTCCATCCAGATTTTGTCACATATCCTCACTTCCTAACTAGTGGAAGTGGCTACTTGATTTCTTTTAGGAGAAAACCCTTAACTAGCTCTGTATCTGTGTCCCCCTTCCTGAGTCCTCTTTGCTGTACCATACTGTGATATGTTGGGTGACCTATTTTTGCGACTGGTCTGTTTGTATTGCGTAAGCAGTTGTGTCAGTGTGGCTATGTGCTCTAGAGTTTACTAGTGCTGCAACTAACGATTATTTTCATTGTCGACTAATCTGTCGATTATTTCTTCGATTAGTCGACTAATCATTTTATCAAAAAATGTGTTAAAATGTTGTTAAATGTCGGTCTGTCTCTTCCAAACCCCAAAATGATGTCATCTAATGTCCTGTTTCATACTCACACCAAAGGGTTTTAGTTCACTGTCATGGGAGAGTGTGTAAAGCTGCCAATATTTGAACGTAAGAGGCTGCAATAAGATTATTCTGGGGTTCTTTTATAGTACTTTTCTATGAAAAATGACTCAAACCGATTAGTCGACTACTAAAATAATCACCGATTATTTTAATAGTCGA